TATACTCTCGTTCTTCATGCGTATTGGAGATAATGACGCACTAAGCTTTATATGAGGAGGAGTGGAGTACTTACAGGTTTGTACTTTTAGTTATGCCAAAACGTTTAAAACCTTCTTTAGATACTGCTTTGGGTCAAACAACAAACTTGCCATTTCCTCTATCTCTAATTATCTCCCATACCGAGAATCTTCTTGGCTTCCCCTAAATCCTTCATCTCAAATTCTTGATTAGTTGAGCCTTCAACTTCTCAATTTCTTCTACATTCTTTGAAGCAATCAAATATCATCAACATATAAGAGTTGATAAATGAGAGTATCACCTTGTAGCCTTTGAAAATACACACAGTTGTCAAATTTGCTTCTTGTGTACTCCTGACCCATAATACCTATCAAATCGCTTGTACCACTGCCTCGGAGATTGTTTCAAACCATAAAGCGATCTTTTCAGTTTACAAAAACCAATCTTCCTTCCAATACTCCTAAATCCTTCTGGCTGAGCATATAGATTTCCTCTTCCAAATCACCGTGTAGAGAAACGCGGTTTTCACATCAAGTTGAACAAGTTAAGATATCATCTGAGCAACCAGGCCAACAAAATTTAATGGAGAATGCTTTACAACTGGAGAAAATACCTCATTGAAATCTATTCCTTCCTCGAGCGTAGCCTTTCGCCACCAACTTGCCTTGTATCGAATGTCTTTCAAATTCGGAAACCTTCTTTCTTTGTATACCCATTTGCATCCAATTGCCTTCTTATTCTTTGATAATTGAACAACCCCCAAATTTCATTCTATGGAGAGACTGCATCTCTTCTTTCATGACTTTCCTCCACTTACCATTTTCGGAACTGCTAGCTACTTCATTATAAGTGGAAGGAACTCACCATCTTCAATTGGGAGTGCATGGGCACCGATCAGCAAAACGAGCAGGCTTGCGAATTTCTCGTCTTGGCCTATTAACAGCAATGGACTTGTTGAGGTTCTTGGGAGAATTCTTCTTCATCTCCAATGAACTCCTCTATCATAGGAGTCTCATTTCCAGCTGGGTTAACTGATGTTGTTTCAAACTCCACCTGTGCTGAGTATGCTCCACCTGTTGCGGAGTACTGAAACCTTCATCTGGTTCCTGTTTCTTTTCTAACATAGAAGACTCATCAAATGTCACATCCCTACTAAACAGTATTTTTCTTAACTTGGACACCAAAGACGGTATCCTTTCACACCTGAGGTAATCCCCATAAATACGCTTTCTTTGCTCTAGGATCTAACTTAGACTCTTTCACATGATAATAAGCAGTGGAACCAAAAACTGTAAAGAGTCATATCAGAAACAGGTTTTCCAGACCATAACTCGATCGGCGTTTGCCTTCAATTGCAGTTGATGGGAGACGATTAATGAGATGACATGCATATATAATTGCCTCGCCAAAACTCTTTGCCCAACCCAGAATTGGACAACATACATCGAACTTTCTCCAGTATAGTTCGATTCATGCGTTCTGCCACCCCATTCTGCTGTGGTGTATTTCTACTGTAAAGTGATGGACTATCCTTCATCTTGGCAAACTTTCAAAAATGATTACTACGATACTCCCCCACATTTCTGTACGTAGCTGCTTGATCTTCTGCCAGTCTGAGTCTCCATCATCTTTTTCCATTTAAGGAAAACACACGTACGTTATACTTTAGTTTTTATCACATACACCCAAACTCTTTGGAAAAATCATCTAAAAAGTGACAAAATAGTGCATACCTCCCAAGATGTTGTTTTGGTAGGTCCCACACATCAGAATGAACATAATCTAAAATACTCTTAGTATTATGAAGCGGTGCCGAATTTCACTTTGTCGTTTTCCCAGAACACAATGCTCACAAAAATCCAGCTTATAGGTCTTTGCACCTTTCAATAAGCCTTGATTTACCAAACTAAGTAAGGCTTTTTCCACTGCATGCCCCAAACGCATATGTCATAGCTTGAGCATTTCTGAATCTTGCATCCTTCTGTACGACTGCAGCTGGTTTCAATAACGTTACACCATTAGTAATACAAGTTGTTTCTCCTCGTGCCTTTCATTACCACAAGAGCGCCTGAAGAAAATTTTAGAATTCCATCTCGCATATTCACTGTGAAGCCTTTAGATTCCAAGGCTCCCAAAGAGATGAGATTCTTTTTCAACTTCGGTACATACCGAAAATCTGTAGAGTTCTAGTTGAGCCATCATGATTCTAACGAATTGAACATCCCGTTGTTTTACAAGCATCATCCTGCCCATATAAACAACTCCACATCAAGTTCTTCAAAATTAAAGACCACTCCTTGTGGGGGCACATATGATAGGTACACCTGAATTCATAATCACTCATGTTCCAGAGGTGGATGGTAGGCTAACTAGACAGAAATCTGACTCCTCTTCACGCTCAACACACGTATGCATCAGAAGCGCTTTGCCCTCTTTCTTTTGCAACTTCGGACAAGTTTCTTCCATTCCCTTTCTCACGACAAAAGGCACATGATCCTATTGAGTTTTCCCTTTGAACGAGATCTCCTCTCTCTCCTCTTATGACTATCTTTTGACTCCGCCCTCTTACTACAAGAGCTTCTGCTGACTCATCTCTATCTCCTTCTGATCTTTCTTCGAATTTATGATTGGATAGAGCAGAACAAACTTCTTCAAAGGACAATTTTTCTTTCCCATGAAGAAGTGTAATACTAAGATAGTCCAACTCATCTGGAAGAGATCCAATTAACAACATAGCCTTATGCTCATCTTTGAAAGTTTCATCCAAATTTAACAAATCAGCAATTAATTGTTAATGTTCAATATGGCTAATGATATTCGTACCTGGTCTCAACTGAAGACGAAACAATCTTTTCACACAATAGAGTCGATTCTCATTACTTCTCTTCATGTATTTGTTTTCCAGCGCCTTCCATAAATTATTAGCAGAAGTCTCTTTCATGAATGGATATTTTTGCTTACAAAGACATGAGCGAATCATCCCACACGCTTTTACATTCAACCTCACCAGTCTTCTCATAGATATCTTTGGTTTTCCTCCTCCCGACGATATCTAGATCCTGCTGAACAAGTTCCATTAACTCAATCTGCACAAGCCAAAATTATTTTGGTCATCAAAATTTTAACATCAATTTTGCATTTGAAACGTTATCATCTTTACTGGTGCGGATGGTGGTGCCACGGACGGTGATGCCTCGGACGATGAATCCTCAGACAAAGATGCCATTTATTTACTCAATTAGCTTGGTAAACAAAGTTCCCAATAACCAAGCTCCACAAAAATATTATATCAATAGTAACCAACAAATCAACAATAGCCCTAGGTAGTAGTAAGTGCTGAAATGATTAAATACGCACCAGGGAAATTCCCAGGAAACAATGGAGGGGTCACAAATGGGCCCACTTAAAATCCAGTCTCCTTAGACTTTTATCGTCTTTTTGACAGAATTTTCCTAGACATGCAATAAACCATACAAATAGCTATCACTGTCCTAAACCTAGGCTCTGATACCAATTGTTATGCAACGGAAACATAAACTCAACACTAGCTATTGAATATAATAATAACAAGTAGTAAGCATAATAAATAGCCAAAATTTAAATGCAAAAAAAAGAATACCAGGAATTAACGAGGTTCGGTATTGAAACCTACGGTCCCCGAGCGCTTGCAAAAGAAAAAAAACTCCACTATCTCCAAAACATTACAAACTTTTGGGCAATACAACAAATACCCAAAACAAAGGGGAGATACAACAAAACTTACAAACTAAAGGGTCCTTAAAGAAAGAAACCTAAACAAAAGAAGTATAATGAAATTACAACTTGGGATGCCTAATAACAATGATATGGGTCCTTATATATAGGCCCCAAAAGTTTCCCACTTTTCAATCCTAATCAATGTGGGACAAACAACCTTTTCTTGGCCTATTACATATAAGTCCCTAAACCTTTCGCCATTATCATTTCTATCCCATGTGATTTTGCTAAAAGCCATTTTTCAACAAGGTATCTTTTGGATGTTGCTAGTTATGCACTAGGTGCTCTAGGCGCTTACAACTATGATTCATCCATTTCATCTACTACGGACCATGTAGTTGAAGGATTTAGTGAATCATTATATCAAAAAGTAATCTTTGAAGTAGAATTTACGATGAAAAAGAGATTTGAGTCTTACAAGGGTTATACTCTTGGAGAGGTTGCTAGATTTGATTTGTCACACAATGAATTAACCGGTGAAATCCCATCAAAAATTGGAGACCTCCAAGGAATTTTTGCATTGAATTTGTCTTACAGTTTGTTATCAGGACCTACTCCAAAGAGCTTTTCTAATCTGAAAGAGATAGAGAGCCTAGACCTTTCCCACAATAATTTAAGTGGCCAAATTCCTCCACAATTAACTCAATTAAATTATTTTGAGGTCTCCAATGTAGCACACAACAACTTATCTGGATCCATTCCTAATCAATCTCAGTTTGGGAGTTTTAATGAAGGTAATCCTTATCTTTGTGGTCAATTAATTAAAAAAAATTGCACTAATGCGCCAATACCACCACCTCTGGCATCCATTGAAGAAGAAGATGATAATGATCTGCTATTGAATTTTTTAAGTATGTTTAGCATTGATTTTGATATAAGTCATACTAAATTAGATAACATTGTAAATTTTTAGATTTATTTTGATGGAAGCAATTATTTTTATATCTTTAATTTAGTTTGCACACTTTGAGTCCAGAAGGGAATTCTGAGAATTTTAATTAATTGCATTTATGACCGAGCTTAAGTTTATATGTCCAAGGTCTATGTGCTTTGTTTACACATTTCAAGGGTATTTTTTTTTTCTACTTTAGAAACTTTAGTAAATATTTTTGCTATTAATATTATAAATGCTCGAATTTTAAGTAAATTGGTATGTGAGTATGTGACACTCTAAGAAAGCCCCTCTCTTCAAATATGAAAATAGAAAAAGTTAACTCCGAGCAATCACCATTAATTACTTCTATACACAGTTTGAACATACATATTATATCTATTACATATATTTACTAATTAGCTTTATCAAACTGGCAAGTATTAGAATCAGATACACAGTTTGAACATACATATTATATATATTACATATATTCCAAGCAATTAACTGGGATTTACCACCAAATCTTCCAGAATTTCCAATGAAAGTGCAACCCAAAAGAAACATTATCTTAAAGGATAAATTGCATTCAACTTGAAGCTTGGCTAATTATGGCGTCCAACTTAAATACACACCTCTCTTACAAGGAGGTTTCTGATAAAAATTATAAGCTTCAAGGAAAGTCTTCTCGTGATTTCAAGAATACCTATGATGATCTTGGTATTGCTAAGGGGTTTTTGATGAATTTTGTAACTTGGATGGTCAGCAGTGTGACCAAATGTCTGAGTGAGGTTCAATCATAATTTATCACATAAATTCAGGAATGGACAAAATACTCTAATTGAAGAATCATTAACATGCAACAGAGGATAAAAGATGAATTAATAAAATTGTATACACAAATCCATGCGGGTAGGCATGGACATTCTGTAAATGTCCACAAATGTAGACACAAGCGTGCAGTCTCTACATTTGATGTTATATATATATAATGATATCAAATGCATGTAACCCTGGTGATATCATAGAAACAGCAACGTGTCCATGACTGTCAACAACAGTATCCATTAACAGCTGTAGTGAATTTTAGATTGAAATCTTGATAACAGAATGTATGATAGAAGTGTGTTGATTATCAAAGTTGAAAAGAAAAGAAAAGAAAAAAGTTGATGAATTGACAAAGACTAAGGCCATTGCTCAGAAAAACCACAGCGTTCCTCCAAAATGATTTATCTAAATGCCAATACTTTGTCCCATCTAGAGATTTTTGCTTCTTTCAGTTAGCCATGCATAGTGTGCTTACATGAGCAAACAAACATTCCCAAGCATATAAACATGAAAAATAACATAACAGAAGATTGTAAATACGCGCATGCACCAATAGGAGATTTATTTACCTTCACCAATATAAACATGAAAAATTTGTCTCACCAATAAATTGTCATTTCTTCAGATTGCCCAATTATCGCCTCAATCAAGAGCTCCCACTCAGCAGCATCACCATACTCCAAACACTTCTCAACAACATTTAATGCATATTTATGCTGACTCAACTGTACAATTTTTCCAGCCACCTTGCTGATAATTTGGCTTCTTTCATTGGATTTTCCCCTCTCCAGAACATGCTACGAGCAGTATAGCCAATTCATATTAAAGTTGATGAAACCATCAGAGAGATCAGAACTATCTTACAAACAGAAAAGGTGGGTAATTTTAGGCAGTAAAAAACTCAGACAAACAATGACTTCAACCCACTAAAAAACAGAAACCTCATAAAGCACTAAAGACGGAAGAATAATATTGCAAACACACACCTAATTCACAAAGCAAGCTAATAATGTAACATCAGAATTCATACTACTCATAGGTCAAGGACTACATATACTAAAGTAAAAGGGGGATGACCACAGGCAGACTTTCTAGAGGGTGTTTTAGCCTTAGTTCACAAGAAGATAAATCCTTTTCTTCATCTTTGTCACTAGGAAACAAAATAATACCAGAGATGGGAGTAGGAATAAAAGCCATGGAAAACTCCTCTCGCAAGGGCATGAAATTCTCAATCCAACATTAGAGAACCAAAAAAAAAAAGAAAAAAAAAAAAAAAAAAAAAAAAAAAAAGCAGCACAAACCAAAACGCAAAAATCCAAGAATCCATAATTCAAAAAAAGAAATTGGGATAAATATACATCATGGTGAGTAGAAAAGTCCAAAAATTTCTCGATTCTAGAGCAAATTTGGCACCATATGTTTGCTCCACCAAACATTGTCTGAAAAAGACACTCCATATGCAAGTCCTTATATGGGCATACGTCTAATACCAGTTAAGGGGGCTTGAACTTCCCTAAAATCAAAATTCACTTTATGCAATGGATTAGCAAAGTCAATGCATATAAATGGAGCAAATTACATTCACGGTGTGAAGAACAATGTTAGATATTTTTTACCATCAGTTTGACCGAGCCTTAGGCATACTTAAGTGAATCTAAAGCAACATTTAAGGCTATATTGTGGAGATTGCAGTAATCTAAGGTACTCCTTCAAGTAGGCATTGATCTACACTTTGTCCACTGATTTTCTAAATTCCACTGTTTAAACCTTAGGGGAAAAAAGGAACAAGTCAATTATATTACTCTTTTTTTTATACTCAATATTTGCAATATTCGTGTCTTGATTAGGAACACAACCATGAATTTTAAAGCAAGCTAAAAACTTAGGTTCCACACCATAGCATTATAAGCTGAACATTAATACAATTTAAATTTTCTTCATATGAGGCAGCAAAAGAGCAATAAATAACTTCTCACTGAAATGCATACTTGTGCAGGAAACAAAGTCAGTACTAAAATTAGATTTGTATGATGCTGTTAGCCCATCAATCAATTTGTCAGGTACAAATTAGATATGCAAACCATCTTGACAGATAAGTGCCAAACAAATAATGAAGAATCATCTATATCACGAACTGGTGAGATCATAAGACCATGGGTGCATAAAGGCCAACAATGCCTAAATTATTTAACAAAGTATATGAACTCGGTGGTAAAAGCTAAAGACAACTATAAGTCCAATCAAGGCAAATAAGCTTGGTAATCAACTAGTTCAAAGAAGTCAGTTTGAGGCATATACAACAATAAACTATTTGTGGTTGGAATAAAGAAGCAAAAACACACCATTTTATAAAAAATTGACTTGTATCTAAGCACTTAATAGATTGTTGATGCTATCCAACAACAATTAAAGAATTAAGTAAACAGCACAAAGCACACAATACCTACCTGGGTAATGTAGTTCCCATACTGGTCCTGAGCAAGAACATAAGCAGATTCCAAAGTTTCATCCACTATACATTGACCTTGTTGTTCATTTGAACAATGCTCCAAAACTCTCTATTGAAAAGAAAAATAAATAAATAAATAAAAAGATAAATAAATAATAGTTTCAACAAACAAAATGGGATCTCAAATAAATAAATAAATAAAAGAAGTCTGAACAGCCAAGTGATTGAGTTCTATTACCTGAAAAACACGACAACCATATGGATGCGTAGAAAGCATGGCAACTTGACCTTGAAAAGCAGATATAATAAATCCAATTTTTTCTGTAGGTACACTTTCGGTACACTTCTGTATCACATGATTCCCATTCTGATCACGCACACATCTCATGACATGCCCATCAAGCTCAAGGACTGATTGTGTTTTCTGATCAAGCTCAATGACTTCAGGGGCCTAGATTAAAAAAAAAAAAAAAAAATTCGAGATTCAAAGAAAATGATATTAAAATTTCAAACTGAAGATCGAATATATGGCTATACTTGGAACTCATTCAAGGAAAAATTGATGCATTGTTTTGAGAAAAATAAATTCACACGCCCTTAGAATTCAAAAGACCCCCACCCACCCACACACATATAAGCACCAAGAAAAGGAAAAGGTCATAAGAAAATATGTAATATAAAAGGAATAACAAGATTAACTAAAAGCAAGAATATACATACAAAGCTATGATGAAAACTCAGATATCTTTCTTAAATCTAACACACAAAATTCTAGACAAGTTGCCCACCCTACAAAATCTATAATGCAACAACCTATCGCTACAAAAACATCTTTCAATAGTTTCAGAAATTTGGACAAATTTTGAGGCTATTATGAGTAATGTGAAAAAACCATTTGCATATAACATCCGAATGGTTCAATTGTTCCTCGGCTTATTGAAAAATCAAAAGTCAATTTAAACACGTGGGATGAATTAAAGATTTGATCAAAATCAAAGGACCAAGTATAGCATTGTGAGGGAAAGAAAGACTCGAGCAATTCAGGGAAAGGGAAAAAAGCAAGCTTCACTGTCTCACAAAATCAGGTGTGGTGATAAATAGTTTTCACTTTGGGCATAACCATCTTTAGTAGAAAAAATCAGATAAATAAATTATAATGAATCCACAATGAGGAGTATAGCCCTCACTATGCCGTCACTACCTTGAGGATTCCTCTTCTTTATATACAAGACATCAGTCATTAATTTTGAGGCATGTGGAAAAACTTCTTTGAAAACAGACACCTTGTCTTCACACTGCTGTGCTCCAGCTTCTGCTGAATAAATCGACTCCCATGTTGATCCACATTGAAGTGAGATATGCATGCAAATTAATTTTCATATAGGAAATAGTACAACAATCCCATGATGTAAGGCTTTAGGAAAACAAACTCAGTAAAGAACACAGCCTGAATTCTACTATATGCCCCACTATGTCCGAGAGCTCAAACTTTTGCGCATTGCTGGATTTCAGTTCTTCAAGAAATGAATGCCTCTTGGGGTCATCAAAGATGTTTACTCCTCTCTGCCCTTGCCATCCAGGATAGATACCTGTATTTCTATGTGAACCCTGAGGATAACTTAGATCATTTCGCAGACCTGGATGACTTGTTCCACCAACTGGTAGTGATGCCAACACTGGACTAGAAATAGGCGATATTGGAAATTGCGCTATGACACCCATGCCTGGAGGACCCCCATAATAACCACCAACACTGATTCCCAGTTTTCTAGGATTTGGAATACCTAGACTCCCATTTGGTGGAGACAGAAGTTTCTGATCACCCAAATAAGCAGCAGAAGGTGGCTCTTTCTGTATAGACGAATCAACCTGAGCCCCAGCACCATTACTTGATGGCAACCTACCATACTGAACTGAAGCACTGTATGCATTCCCAAAAGGGTGTTGAAAGTATTGCATTTGAAGAGGATTCACAAAAGAAGGTTGCAGCATCATTACACGGTGTCCATAGAACTTCTGATGTTGCAAATTACCCATATGTGGTATGCTTTCTGCTGTTGAGACGCCAGTAATTTGAATATTAAAGCTTAGACCTGATGTAGCATCAAATGGCATAGGAACAGGACCATGGGGAGGGTATCCAGCAACAAATGGGGGAAGAAATGCAGAATTCAGAGCATATCCACCCACATTGTAGTGCGGAGCATACACACCAGATGGCTGAAAATTTGGGTAAAATGGATTACCTGATGGCATATAGGCTCCCGTTGTCACATACAAGGGAATAGTTAGACCAGGGGAATGCATTGATGGTTGTACCGCGATGGAAAAGAACTTAGCATGACCATGAGAGTGTTTCTTCCTAAATTCTCTCTGAATGAGGGCCAACAATAACTGACACATCATCCTCCAATCGGCAGTTTTAGTGTTTGGACAATTTGGATTCAAGTTCACGTTAGAGCAATAATACGCAAAAAGGCTGGATCAGAATGCAGGTGCCCCTCAGATTCGAAATGTCCAAGATCGTCGCTTAAACTTTCCAACCTAAATTCAGACCAGAGTTTTGTTTAGCTAAAAGGTTTCCAATAGCTGCAAATTACCCTTCCGAACTTGGTGGTGCACTACCGCTTCGATTCGGAATCATGTGTGCTTGGTCTCCATGAAATCTGTGCCCCTTCAAAAGCAATCCCAATTCCTCTGTTACCATATTCTTCAATTGGGAACCACACATTGCACAATCTTAGGAAGCAGGCCAGTTTCTAGCTCCATCGCTTCCCACAATCCTATAGGGCTCCCCATTGCCATCTGATTTAGGGGATAATTATCCATTTTTTTCTCTGAAACAAGGACATTCAAATTATTGCCTGCAGTGATACAATGTCAAGTTCATCAATTAAAAATCATAATATTTCCTGAACATCATAACGAGAATGCAAAAAATGCCTGCACACATCCAGCATCTCATGGTTAGATATGAGGTGAAGCAAATTTATCCTTAAATATAACCTGGTTAATTAGGCTAATTATCATCTCAAAAATAGTTGGTTTAATTCCCATCACAATATAGTATATCACTATATTCATCACTCTTAAGGGGTCCCATTGTTGGGTAACATGAGGCAGGATACAACAAATATTCATTTTTGTCAACATGTAGCCATGTCAAAAACCATGTAACTACCGACAAAGGTACAGGTGTTCATGTACTTTGTCACCTAAGATATAAAAAGTATTTTTTATATACTATTCTGAAATTTTTTTGACAGGTCTACCTATTTATTTGATTTAAATAGACATGTACACGAGATGCTTACATGATAGGCACGCATAAATCAAATTATAAATATAAGAATTCAATTCTTTTTTCAAAACTTACATAATCAATTGAGCACAAGGAAACCAATCTTTCTATCAGATTTGGTTTGTTAACATTAAATTTTTGAAAACTGATTTAATTAGGACCACTTTATAAATGCCTTAACCCAACCCGAGTTGACCTTGGCAAGAATAAGGAACTAGTTTGTCTTCAAGTTTGGCACTAGTAAGGCAAAATGCAAAACATATCAGTCAGTCATAAAGGCAATCTGCCTAAGAAAGAGAATGGAGGCATAGCCATAAATATGTCTTTCGAAGTTAAGTGCTTCCAAAGCCTCCAGGTAAAATTACATTTTATTCATGACAATGGGATACAAGACGATAAATACTCCATGAGGGTTGCTATTAGTACAGCCCAAATGATTGCATTATGCCAAAAAATATTTCTCCATTCCCATTATACAAGTAAAAATCTATTAACTGTAACTGAAAATTATGGGTCCAAAGGACAGCCCCTTCATGTTACAGCCAAAGAAGTATTGTCCAAGACAATGCCATTCTATTTCTTTTATCTTCTTCCTTTCATTGAATGCGCCAAAGGGCCAAACTTTACTCACTTTGCTGAACTTTATATTACAGCATAAAATTGAGCCAAAAAGCTATAGCTATCATACCAACTGCATAATGTTTTCATGCCTATTCAAAAGGAAACCCTTCCTTAACGATTCCTCTTCTCCTTTCCTTATCCTGCTCCAACTATTAAAGGTCTTACCTTTGCTAATCACTCTCCTTCTACACTGTCACAGGTGGTAAGCCTGTAAAGACCAATAATAACAGAAATATATGCGCTGAGGTGGCAAAAAATTAACCCAATCATCAAGTACAAATAAAGGGAATCTAATGTGTGAAAATTACAACTTGTTTCATACAAATTTTAGACATATTTGCAAGGACAATTTCTTGGACGATCTAGCCAGGACCCAAAACTAGAAGCTTACCTTTAACCGCAAAACCTTGGTGCCCATCAAAAAATGCCAACCGACAGTGATGGCATGGTTGCTTTGAAGATCCCAGCTGGGACGCAGCCGAGTACAACATTTGTAATGGCAAGGAAACGGGCTGGCATATTACCCTAGATTTTGTGGATATTCATTATAAAAGAATACTAAAATTGAATTTAAATTAATATTTATTATCTAATTAATTATTAATTATTAGCTTTATTACTTATACAATCAGTGTTCTGCTCTACGTAATCTCTTATCGATTAATATTTTGGTATTATTTAATCTTTTTATTTCATTACATAAGTTTCCATCATTATTCACCTAGATATATTCTTTATTTAAATTAAAATTAAAAAAAAAAAATTCATGTTCATAACTTCATATTATATAAAATGAGATAGCATTAATTAAAAATTCATGTTCAACACTGTAAAATCTGAAGCTGTTCCATCAACAGACACAACTAACCTTTATGTGTCAATCTATATCCAATGAATACACACTTATTAAGTGTGATAAGCAAAATTAAGCTTTTGATAACAGGGTCATAGCTTCAGCCAAATACTCCCAGCATTTTATAATCTGCTGTGTATTTTTTTAATTTCTCCTCTTTGTGTGTATTTTTTTAATTCATTTTATATAAACTACAACACATTGTTTCTGAAGAAGAAAAGCTACAGTAACTAACCAAATCAGCATTTTCGTTAATCTGACTTCTTAATTGACTGAACTAACTTCTTAAAAACAAAAACTTAGTTTTCTTAAATATTGGAATTTTAATATTTAAGAAAAAGTTTATATGAAAAAGTTTGAGTAGATAATTTAGTAGTATGTTATTACTCTTAAATATTGGCATTTTAATATTTGCATGATTAGTTGGTTAAACTACGAAGTAATTCACTCAAGTAAATATCATTGGTTCACTTCTTTAATCCAAAAGAATAAGAGAGGAGCATGATATGTTGTTAGAGCTTTAGCTTTCTTTTGGGATAATGGAATCTCTATTTTTTATTAGTTAGTTTATACTTTTTGTGGGTCTTTAGATGTATGTTTGATATACTTTGTAATGCAATTGATATGCTGATTAACTGTTCCATTACATAGCTAATGACTAATAGTGTCTCACATGCAGGATTATTGTTCTGTCTTAAGGGTGCAAAAAATGCCAGTAAATCTGAAATAAAAAGTGGTATGTAGATTTTCATTTTCTTTTCCTTTCTATTTTGTCTGAATTGTTCTATTACACATTTTCTCTATGTTTGTTTTTTTGTTTTAACTGTGTATGTGATAGACTTTTATTTTACATTATCCTTATGCTCTTTCAAGTCCATGGGAATAGAGAATTTGTTTTGTGTTTGTGGCAGAATTAACATGAATTTGTTTTCCTTTCATTGTTGCTTTTAAAAGGAAGCAGTTTCATAACATGATGTTGAGTACAGTGTGGGAGAGCTATATGAGGTTCTTTGTCTTGATAAACATTGTATGTATACAGAAAGTCAATATCAAGCTCAGTAAATATCATAACTTGAAAAAAAATGAGCATTTGGTTATTGTGCTAGAATATGACTTTTCTTTTCTGGTTTGGCAGTGCCAAAATGGTCGGGTTGATGGCTGATAAGTGATTCTCAGCATTGCCTTTAATCTGAGAATTATGATGTAAAATTAAGTTGAATTGAAGATTAAAAAACTGGTCTGAAACAGAGTACTGAAACCTGTTCTAATAGTTTGTGGATATGATACTTGTTCTACTTTTTACATTTAATTTCCTGAAGTTCTGATTAAGGAACAACCAAAAGTAGTAGAGGTGCTTATTGGAAAAAAACATTGCCTTGTATGCTGTGGGACATGTCCGAACTTTTTTCTGTTGGATGATTGGAGGAAATAGTATGGTGGCATTTGCTTCACTCCCGTCCTTAAGTACTTGATCTATGTAAAGTAACAGATCTATTTGCTTCTGGGTACAGTGGCCTATGATGACATATCCAGCTTGGTGGAAAATTGAATAATCCAAAATTAATGAAGAAGAAACATTTGTTTCTTTATTCACAGGCCGTACCCCCCTCTATCCTTGCATAAATACCAGTTAAACTTGTGGGTTAGTGTGAGAATTGTAAAAGATCTAAATCAGCTAGGCTATTGATAAAGAAGAGAGTTGGTGATAGAGAACCAGAAAAAAGAAATAGAAGAGATAGAGAGAATAAGAAGGATAGCTTATGGATAACAGCTTGAAAGAGGAGAAATCCAGAAGAACGATCTATATGAAGAAACTAATAATCGTATTCATTCATCAACCATGCATGTCAACGTTAGACGCCTTTATTCATAGGCTTAAGAAACCAAATCCTACTCACAACATTATGTAATAATTCTAATCCTAACAAAACATGGAAATAAAAGTTGAATTTATCTAAGACAACACAATTCTAAAATACTGAGAAACACGGACTAAATAGCATTTTGATCCTTCCCATATGTCCTATTTTACTTTATAAGATGATTGTGCTGCCTTGTTGGAGAAATCCTCTCATTAAAGTTTGGAAAAGATGCTCTGTTGAATTATATTCATACTGGGTTGATTAAGTGGTAATCTTATTCAAATTAGACGCATTTATCATTTCTACAGGTTTATTCCTGTACTTTAATCATCTGTTGAATTATATTCATACTAGGTTGATTAAGTGGTAATCTTATTCAAATTAGACGCATTTATCATTTCTACAGGTTTATTCCTGTACTTTAATCAACAGCTTTGGCATGGCCTCTTATTTTTCTTCAATTAATAGTTACTTGCTCTTATGTACTTGAAATCTCTATTGACTTATATTTGCACTAAATCATTGCTTTAACATAGAAAACTGTTAATGTCAATGTATTGTATCAGTTCTACAGTCTATATTATGTCATTTTACCTCTTTGTAAATTTAAGTCTAATTTATGTCAATATAGTATAATGTGTTACGTGCATTACAATTCACATAAAATTTTTCAATCAAAACCAAAACACAAACAATTAATTAAATTAATTAAACAATCATACTATAAACCTATAATTTAATATTATAATTAATTAAATTTCTAATCATTTAATTAAGTATTGTACTAATGTTTATAATAGAATATTATAATTAATTAAGTAATTATACTATAAATCTATAATGTAATATTATAATTAATTAAATTTTTAATCATTCAATTAAGTAATGTACAAATGTAGTAAATTACTAATGTTTATAATATAATGTTAAAAATTTATAATTAATTAAGTAATCAATTAACTATGTAATGTTATAATTAATTAAGTGATTATAATATAATGTAATGTTATTATTAATTAAGTAATTATTTAATTATAATGTAATGTTTTAATTAATTAAACTTCTAATCATTTAATTAATGTTGTCCACTTCCTCGTAACAAAAAAAATTAGTAACAAACCAAAACTAAGAAAATAGAACCGTAGAAACTCAAACAAATAATCAATCAAGAAGAAATCAGCAAACAAAGCTGAATCTTTATCAAAATGTCTTACTCTTCTTATCTATTTATATATCCTTTGCCGTCAATCCCACGAGACTCACTAAAACTACTAATTTGAGCTTTACTTTCTCACTCACAAAATATTAATTGATCTTGCAAGCTGAAAAAATCAGCCAACAAATTTAGGGCCTGTTTGTTACAATATTTTGAATCAATGTTATATATTATATTTGGATTAAAAAGTAAAGTGTTTTTGTTTTGATTATTGTTGAATTGAAAAATTGGAGTCTTTCATGCAGAATTTATTTAATAGTCGCATAAGTGTAACGTGAATGAGTTAAAATCAATTAGGGCTTCCTGGAGTTGAGATAAAGTTTGTAAATTACAGTTTTCTCATTTAAGTTTGTTTAATTACGAGTGATTTATTATAACTTAGAAGAGAAAAGGAGTAGTGATTAATTTTTATGCAAGGATTTGGTCATTATCTTTTGGCTTAAGTTTTTGAATGTGATCCAGGAAAAAAAACCAAAAAATTAGTGACACTTAGAAGTGAAATGATGTTTAAAAATATGCCTAATTTGATTATGAAGTTTTCTTTTGAAAGGGAGTCTTCCCTTTCAATTTTGGTTGTTTCTGTGCTTTATGCAAGTTTTGGTGTTGTTAAGCTTTATCGTTTTTGTTCACAGGAGAATATATTTGAATGGCAATTCGCCATCAGGGGTCCGTGTGATACTAAATCTGAAGGTGGAATCTATCATGGACGGATTCAGTTGCCTGCTGAATATCCATTTAAGCCCCCATCATTTATGCACGATTATTGCCCTCTTAAAAAGCATTGCTTCTCATCTCCTGGTTATTATATGCTGATTGGCTTTTATATGCTTTTTGGTTTTCAGCCTAATGGGCGCTTTGAAACTCAGACTAAGATATGCTTTAGCCTTTCAAATCATCGTGAAGTGGTAAATTTTATTCTTCTTGGCTTTTTGTGGATGTGATATTGAGTGGTCTTCTTCAAGATCCATTTTGTGTACAATATCATGAAGTTGGAGTTGGGTCTATTGTCTAAGTTTTATATTGCTTCAAAAGCAATCAATATAAACAATTGAAAGCAGTTCAAGCAATAGTGTTTCCTTTTGCAACTATTTTGAGTCAAGATATATCTGTGCTTCTTGTATCTTACACAGCCTACATTTAAAGTAGCTTAGCAAATACCACTTCCTCTAAAGGCTTGTGAAGTTATGTAGCATTCATTTAGTTAGTGGTGCTCATTTTCATGCAGTCAATCATTTAGCTTGATATATTAGGACCGTAGACCATTGCTAGCCTCGATAGAATTTTGTTTAGAAAACAATTGAATATTGCTGTTACTTCAGAAACAATTCTTAGTTCTGGCAATGCTTGGCAGATTGGTTAGATATTTGCCTCAGATTGGTTAAAGTCTATTTTCCGAAATGCTGAATGATTTTTCAACTTGGCATATGCACAAACATCTGTTTATTGCTAATTTTTGCTCTGGGCTAAAGAAATTGGCTTTTTGCAGTGCGTACTGCCCTTGTGGCGCTAATTAATTTTTGGATGACAGATTCATGAATATATGTTAAGCAAGACACCCCCTGTTCCTCAATTCAGCCCTTTAGAGTGCTCTGAA